GTCCTGATCTCTTATTGAAACTGAAGCTAGGCTGAAAAACATCAAGCCCTAGTACTTTTCCTGTCTACAGTCTCCACAGTGCAGGGGTAACAGTTGAGCCTATGCACATCTGGGTTCTTATCTTGTGTTTGTAATTTGAACTGTGGTCCTTATGTTTGCTCAGCAAGCAATCTTTCTGAGACATGAACCAAACCTGCACGATAGGGTTTTTATATGTAACACTTTAGTTTTCCTTTAAATCCCTCAAGCTATTCAAAATCTTAAAGACCAGTGTTAGAGTTAATTATTATCAAATTGGTGGATGTAAAATCATCTACAAGGAGAAAAAAAAATATTTAGAACACAATTCTCTACTTCTGTGCACTGGGAACTATCTGTGTACCTACGGCTTGATTACATGCACTTATAACATCCGCTGAGAGATGAAAATTACCTCGCTTCCTCTTCCTTGTGTTCTCTCTTTCTCTCTCTTCATCTAATATTTCTCCTCACCCTTTCTCTGAGTTACATGTTCAGTTTTGCTCTCTTGCAGTATTTGCTATGTCTGACCTTTAGGACAATACTTGTGATAGATCTGGCTTATAGTGTGTGATAGCTGATACAATACAGCTTATTCTTTCTGGCTCTTTCTTGTGCAACCTTTTTGTCTTTTCCTGAATTCTTTAATATTGAGTAAATTACTACTGTTGGGTGACTCTCTTGAATATATGACTATTTTTTTACTTGTCATTTTTTTATGTTTTGCTTCTTCTTTTTTTGATTTTTGTTTTTTCAAAACAGGGTTTCCCTGTATTGTTTCAGAGTGTGTCCTGGAACTTGCTCTGTAGAGTGGGCTGGCCTTGAACTCTCAGAGATCCACCTGCCTCTGCTCTTCCGAGTGCTGAGATTAAAGGCATGTGCCACTAATGCCCAGCTTCTGCTTCTTATTCAGTGAGTTTCTGAGTTATTCTAAAATTGAGACTGAAAAATCAATGCACACTAAGGTTAAGGAAATATTTTTGTGTGCTAATTTTGTATGTTTCAAAAATATATTCTCTAAATCAAACTAAAACTTTTGTTAATTTATAGGTAGTGTATCTTGCAATAATTTGAAGCAACAACTCTTAAATGCAAATGGAAAGGATATATTTATTCTAACTACTTTATTTATAATTTCTAGAGTATTTTGACTCATTTGGTCTTAAAAATAAAAAGTTCTTTCTAATCTTAGTATTTCTCTAATATCAGGGACTTACTTGAACTTTCTAGTTGTTGTTTGTTTAAGATATACTTAATAGCACCAGAGCTCTAAATTTTCAAATCTCAAAACATATTTATTCTCTAAGAATGAATTGAGCAAAAATGAGTATTATTTCTGATTATATGCTGAGGTTCTTTCAAGTTCAAAATTTAGGTAATCTTTTGAGTGGGCAACCTAGTAGAATGCACCTTATTTAAAGTAAAATGTCACAAATTCAGTTACCACATTATGTTTGTACTATTTCAAGTAATCATAACCCAGGTACACCTATTAGATTTCTTTTGGGGACTGCAGATATTGACAACATTTGACTCCATTTTGGGACAACAATAGTTTATGTTTTAGCCTTTATTTCATGGCATTTTTTTCACAGACCCATTCTCTCCCTACAAACTTATTAAAAACAAAAGAAACAAAAAGCCTTCCCTTAAAAAAGGTCACTCCTCCCTGGTCATTTCTTCTGTAGTGACAGGATATTTTTGTCTGTTCTTTCCCATTTCTATGTCAGAATGCAGGCTTGCTTCCAGTGTCTGGCAGCTCCTTAGAAATAGCTTTCTACAATTTGATTATGATGTATCCCATGTACTTTTCTTTGTATTTTTTCACCTCAGGATACGTTTAGATTCTCAGCTCTCTGATATTACCACTTCTATGAAATTTAGGAGGATTGGGGCCATCATATTTTTAAGTAATTTTTGGCTAGCTCCTCGAGGGCTCTGAATATATGTATGATAAACAGCCTGATGTCATTCACCCAGCTGTCTGAAGCTCTTTAGTACATTTTTCAGCGTTTTCTCTTTTTACTGCATTTGGATATTCCATACTTCTACAGCTTTAAATTTACAAGTCAATTCTGCACAGACCTTGCCATCTGTAATATATTTCCATTGAGTATGTTTCAAAACTTAGGAATAATTTGTTGCTGAAAATTTCATTTGATTCATCTTTAATTTTTTCTGTTGATGAACGTTAATATTTTTAAATATTTTAAATATTGATAAAACTAAAGGAATTTTTGGTTGGATCATGAAGATGGCAAGTCCTGTGTGGCTATTTATCAAGCTCTATTTGTAAAGAATGTTTATGCCGTTTGTTGATATGCATTTAGATTGTGGTAGAGGTTGACAATCTTGTTGTTGTTGTGTGTGTGTGCTTTTTGTTTGTTTTTTGCATCATTGATCCCAAAGAATATTCTAGGGATCATTTGTACCCATTACTAAAGCCCAGTTCTTCCAAGTCTAACCTTCATGACTCAAGAGCCAGCATGGCCCTCTACCCCTCTTGCGAAGGACCTGACTTAGTCCCAGGTGTCAGTATGGACTTAAAACAATTGAATTGTTTGGTCCATGAGATAGACACAATTTTATAAGTGAAGGTAAATTATGCATCTGATTTTTAGATAATTATAGGGAAAACTGTATATTAAAATGATATCAATTGTAAGTATTGTGTGAATGACATGTTGCATCCATATTTACATGTTTTTAATAGGCATTTGTATCACTTGGTATCCATTATGTCATCGAGCTGTAAGAGCAAGTCTTTCTTCGATGGACCAAAATTTCAAGTAGCAGAGACAAATAAGCTAATTAGTTCAGTAATAGTGAAGGAATAGAACAGCAGCAACCAAGCCAAGGATTGATTTTTAGAAAACATTGACATCATAATATAAACAGCTAAATCAGAATTCTCATTATCATTCAGGCTTGTAGAAGGTAAGAAAACAATCTTTCTGGGGGAGATTAAGTCCAACAGTTTTCAGAATACTTAGTATCCCCAGTTGTGTTTGCAAATTAACATTTCTACAGTCTTTCTATGTAGACAAGAAATGTGTTATATCTGACTGGCCTGGAACTCACAGGGGTCTGCCTGTCTCCGCATCTTCATTCCATGTCCAGCTCTAATTGGTGTTTTAAAATTTGTCTTGAGATTCATACATTTGGCAATAGATGGTGAAAATGTAGTACAGTGAGTGACATTTATAAGGAGATCTCAGAATGGAAGTGCAACCTCACATTGAATGGGCCACAAATCATTAGTCTGACCTCATCCAGGTGACCTTATCTAAGAGTTCCTAAGAGTGCTTCCCCAGCAGCAGGTACCTGCCCACAAAATAAATGTCAGCCATAGTAATTGCTTACACTTGAATATATGACAAATGTGGTAATTCAGAAAACATTTGCCTACAAATATAAACTTAAAATGTTTTCTGTGGTTTTTATTATTGATATTTAGCTGTACTAGTAAGAAAATGAATCTATATTAGATTATACCAGGAGTTGATGTTTTAGTATGTACCTTAATTTTTCTTGCATTTTCAGATTTGTCTTGAGTTATTCAATAGGCATAATTTCATGAAAAGAAAAAAAGTATTAGATTTATTTTCTACAATTCTACCTTGAATATTCCATAATGAAGGAACAAGTAAAATGTAGCTAAGCTGGAATAATATAGGGCAGTTTTAAATCATTCTTTTTGATAATTTCTCTTAATTTTTATGTAAATGGCTTAATGTTTTGTTTACTAGATCTGCCTTCATTATGATGACTTGTGTGAGGGTCTATTTTGAAGTAAAGTTATTATAACCTTAGACGTAATAATGAATAGCTTTATTTGAAACATTTTTATGTTACTAGCTTGTGCTTGATTTCAAGAGCACTTCTTTTAAATACACAGTGAATTTTCAAGCATACCCGATTTATGTGGCTTTGAGACTCTACTAGATTGACAATTAAGTGAAAAGTGCCATTTAAAATGATTCTTAAGCATCAATTGCACTTGTTGTTTTATACCTGAAATATTTTAAATACAGTCTTTATGTGAATATGTAACTATCACTACGAAAATGTATTCATTGGCTAGTCATAACCAATGACCACCCCACTGGAGTATAATCCTCCTAAGGTTTCCTTTCACATAATGGTTTCCCTGAACAGAAGAGAGTCCCTGGAAAACACCAGCACTCATTATATATGGCTATGGAACTTCATGTATTCAAACAAAAGCTTCATGGAGTTTACTGAAAAATTAGGCTGAGGAAAAAGGTCCCAGTATTCCAGTGTAATTTTCTTAGAATTGGTGAGTGATGACTGTATGTCTTTTTATTTACTTTTGATTGTGATAATATACATTATTGGACTAATTAAGTGTCATGAACAGAACTAATTATTCTTACCTTATGCAATAAGAGTCCAAATCAAGTTTCTGATATTAATCATTTCTTTTTTCTTTTCTTTAGCTTTTTATGGATCAGTTGTTGGCTTCTGACTGTAGGTTCCTCTCCCGAAGCAGATAACCAGTGTGCCTGTTAGAGAACCTATAACTCACACTGCCTGTGCTCAAACATCCAATGTTCTATGTTACTAAATGTTCCTTTTCATCAGATTTGCACATGTGGTCTTTTATTTTCTTTTCTTCTTTTCACAGAATAAACAAGTTTATTCCTTAAATTTTCCTTCTCAAGTGTAGTATCCTTAAAAATAAAAGGACTATAAAATATTCAGACATATACAGGGATGATATTATATACAAAAATAAAGTAATTTTGAGATCTGTATGTAACAAATTATGAGAATTTCCTGAACTGGTTTTGTCAATTGATGTGTACCATCGGTATTACTAAATTTTCTTTACAAGACAATCAGTAATATTCATAAATTTGTATTTCCAGAAGACAATTTGAAACCTGTTCAAAGACAGAGATTTGTATTGAATTTAGTTATTTTATTTTCTGATTATTTTGCTTTTTTGTTTGTTTAAGGATTAAAGCAGGGTGAGCCAACCATGACCGGCAAAACACAGACCAGCAATGTTACCAATAAGAATGACCCCAAGTCCATCAACTCCAGGGTTTTCATCGGCAATTTAAACACAGCCATCGTCAAAAAGGTCGACATTGAAGCTATATTTTCAAAGTATGGGAAAATTGTTGGCTGCTCCGTTCACAAAGGGTATGCTTTTGTCCAGTACATGAGTGAGCGCCATGCAAGAGCTGCGGTGGCTGGAGAAAATGCCAGGGTCATCGCAGGCCAGCCTCTTGGTAAGCTATGCTCAATTGCCGATTTCCATGTAGTCTATCTACTTTGCCTGTATGGTGGAATTTAATTGTCAGCAGCTCCATTCTATTTATTTCTTCCTTAACCAGTTACAGTGTCAGAAATTTATTGTATCATTTTGGATGTAGCTAGTATTATCTCAACAAATATGTCAACTTGTGAGTAAGCTGTTTGGGATATTTACAGCTTCCACCAATTCTGAGACAGGCAAACACAATATGTGCATCCAACTTAAGTTTATTTGAATTGAAATAGTGTGTAATTTCCACAAAACATATGCTAAGTTTATTGACCTTGCATATAAGATTTGTTCTGAAATGATAATTCATTTTCTTTATTTTTTTATTCGGGAAGAAATGTTTAAAAAATAGTTATATATATGTATATATATATATACATATATATATATATATATATTCCAAGCTAGAAAGGATCTCAACTCACTTCTTTCTAAAGGGTTAGGAATGGTATATATCATGCATTCCTCTATGCACTCCAGCATTCATTTTATGTTTTATGCTGGAGGAACAATACTGAATTTTTGCTAGGAAAAGACAATATCTTGTGAGGTGGAATAAAAATAAGAACACACATTTGTGACTATTGATAGGACAAAAGCCAAAATATATATTTTCCCATATAAAAAATACAACCAATCCATCAGTGTTTGTTTCATTTATATTTCTTATCCTGGACATATTGATATTTCAAACTGATTATATACTTTCTTGATTATTCAACAAGTATAGCTTGATTATTCTTTAAATATAACTTCATTTTCCCTCACATCCTGTCTATTTTGTAACTTTTATGTAACTATTGCTAGAATCCCCAGTTCTTTATGCATGTAACTTTCAAAATAAAATATTCAATCTCTTCCTTCGACCTATATTTCAAATGCAGTCTAATATCTCATATCAAACTCTGTCTTTACCTTAGTCTGTACTACAGACCATTATGTGTAGTCACCACTGTATACCAGAGGCCCAAGGAAAGGTTCTGCTCTCAGTGATTTCTCCACTCTGGGGGAACATTTTGTTTTGTTTATAAACATGGATTATATTATCAACCTGTTGTGACTCCTCCTCCAAGGAATGCAATACAAGAAAAGTTGATACTTTGTGATGTACACTGTGAACGTGTGTACAGACACATCTTCAACCCTGTCCCCTGCCCTGTGCTGCCTTCATTGCTCTAATCATACTGACAGCCTTGACATGCCTCCTGCATGGCAGGAATGCTTGTCTTTTAGAAGCTCTGAACCTGCACAATCCCCTGATAGCTATTTGTTCCCTTGATTGTTGTAAACTTAACCTCTACAGAGAGGCCTTTCTGACTGGCATAAAAATTCTTGCCTTCCCTACAGATCCTTGAATTCTGTAATGCTTTTGTAATCATCATCACTATCTTGATGTGATATTTTAGTTTGTGATATTGCCTCACCATGTCCACAAGCATAAATCTAAAACAGTGTATTAAAGAAACAGAAGTAATGAATAATCAACTGAGACTAGCATGACGAATACTATACTATCAAATTTGATCAATTCAGAAAATGTTTGGTGCGAGGACAAGTATAAAGCAACTGTAAATCCTGGCACATAGGAGGCTGAGGTCCAAAGAGAGAGAGTCTGCATGCATCTTGGGTTATAGAGTGAGAAAAAAAATATTGGGAAGCTATGGAATTCATTCAAATACGAGTGATGTGGGAAGTATAATTTTGAAAATAATGAAATGTTTTTATATAATAACTGAGATAAATCAAACATATATGTAAAATGATAGTTTTATTTACATCTTTATTATTCAGTTTTTCTCTACTGTAAAGAAAGTTGATGTTTTTCAATAGTCAGTCTGTTTTCCAGATGTCCAGGTGGTTTCCTTAATATACACAATCCCCATATTTACTGGAATTTTCTGGGATTTGGGTTCTTTAGAAAGTGTTGTAATTAGAAATTCTTTTTTCACAGCCACAGTCAGATATTTCAGGGTCAATCTATTGCTTGTATCTCATTACTGTGAAACTAACATTACCTTGCAGAACCATCTTGGTTATTACTTCTTATAAAAATATTATGAATACAAAGTCAATTCTAACTTGGTTTCTTTTTCAACTGAACCATAGCTAATTCTCTGGAGTCTTGTCTTGCATCACCACTTAGCTGATCACTATCTTTAAAAATATGAACCAGACAAGGAGAAAGGAAGTTGACTCCAACCTTAGAGTCTTAACTTTACAAAACCAAGGGGAAAAAATGGTGCTCTATGATAATATATTATCTATAATTTATTAAAGCTTACATGAGGATTCAGAAAGCAAAGTCAGCCACAAGCTATAGAAGCCAGGTAGTGGTGGCTTTAATCCCACCACTTGGGAGGCCTTATTTCAAGGTCACACTGAGCTATACACATTATATCCAGTCCTAAAGAGAAACAGCTCACACAAAGATGATCTCAGCACTTGTGATCGCTTGCCTTTAATCCAAGGCCTCATGACAGTTTTTGAAGCCAGGAAAAGAATCTCAGAACTAGCTTTTGTCTCCAGCAACATTGAGGATAGGAGAACATAACAGTCTGGGATTGCAGTCTGAGGTTTGGTGGAGCCAGGATCACCTTTCGGTCTGAAGTAGTAAGAGGTAAGAGCAAGTTGCAGCCTGCTTTGTTTTTCAGCTTGAAGCTTGAATCCCAATATCTGTGTCTGGGTCTTTTATTTTTCATGTTATAGTTCTCTCAGATTCCCATGCACTGGTAAGCAGAGTGAAGTGCTGCCTCTATTGGGATTCTTTCTCAGCCATTGTCTTTTCTCAGTGTTGCCTTCAGGATAATCTCAGAGCAGATGCCTTAATAGACTTTACATCCAAATCCATGCTAAGAACTTTATTCATTTAGGTGGGACCTACTTTATTAACTTCTTTCGCCTAAGTGAAAAGACTTTCATACTAAGCAAGTGTTTTGCAATTTAAATAACTTTGCTTGTTAGGACAAGTATCTGAATGTAACCACCTTTCCTTAAACCTAACCAGTAAAAATCCCGGCAAAGGCAAGACATCCAGTTGTTTCCTTCAGAAGTCAGTTACATAGTAATTTAGGATTAAAGCCTAACTTTGCAACCTGTATACCTACCATCATCTTCAAGTACCATACATATCTTTTGTTGAATTGAGCAAAATAAGACTGCAAGTACATTGGTTACTTATTTCCTGATTTGTATTTCCTTTCAAATCAAAGGTTTATTAAATAAACGAATCAAAAAAACTAGATTTGCCCCTGATGTGCAGTGAAATGTTCATGGACATGATGACAGGTTCTTACAATATAAAACACACACTGTATAAGCATTTATCTTTTTCTATAAGTATCATATGGATTAAGCCTGAGTTATCAGTTAATCTATGTTTAAAATGTTTATCTTAAATATTGATTAATGATGTTCCATCCTCTTTAGAATAATCTTTTCATCCTCTCCATGCATTTTTAAAATCTAAAATAGAATTTAGAAGTTTGTTAAACATTAGTAGTCATAAGAAAAAGTCAGCATCCTAATGTAAAAGTCAGCAAAAATCTTTGCTTTTTGGAAATTCTAGATAATAAACTTAAATTGGGACTATTTTTAATAATTAAAGGACAAATATTATCATTGAACATTTTGATGCTACAAGTACCAGAATGAACTGAACAGTTTAAGCTGGAGAGAGCATGCTGAAATGTCAGCAAGGGCAAAGGTCAGGGAACAGGCTGGTGGGTGGGTCAGTGTAGTTAAAAAAATTATGAGTATGTGATGGAAGACAATTATATGAAGATCGAAATGGAATAAGTGGTAATCATGTTAAAATTTAAGGAAGTAGTATGATCTGAGTTAACAAAGTTAAAAAAGATTCAAAAACAAGCACCACATTTGTGGACTGATTCTCTGTTGACAGTCTTGTAAGTCAGTAGGATGAGAGATTATTTTCAGAGGAAAAAATGTTTTGGTGTAAAACTATGAGTCCAGGATGGAACATTTTTTATTAAGGATAACTCATATGCTGAAGGACAAATGGGCATATGTATTACTGAAATCTCACAAAATATAGGCCCTCAAATAAGTGAGAGATTTAAACAAGGGGTGGTAATTATCAGTCATGGACACCAATTGTGTTAAGTTTCTAGGAAATCATGATGTGATTTTGATAGAATTCAAAGAGAGTGTTGTATGAGTTAGAGCAGATGGACAGATCTTTAACTTCCTAGAAAGTTTCTTAATAAACACTCAGCAAAGTTTGGAATGAAATTAGTTTTATTAGGATTGTTTAAAGGAATATAGGTGGGGGATATTTTGCTCCAATTTAAGTCATTGATGTGGGGAGGTTGGTCCAACAAAATCCCTATAGCAATGTGGGAATTTCCATTATTCCCCACCCCTTATAACAGAACATAAGAAGAAAGGAATGTTGACATTTGACTGTTTTTTGTTAACTCTTTTGTTGAATGTGGGTCCCAGATCATAGGATAATGTCAACCATTTTAGAGTTCTATCCTAAATGAATTCTGGAAATGCCTTCAAAAGCTCTGCCAGGAATGTTTCATCTAGGTAATTCTAAATCTGGTCAAGCTGACAATCATCATTAAGTGTCACACACTTAATGAGGTCTGTTCCACAGCAAACTGAAGACACTACAAAGACAGCTGATGACAGAAAGATAAAAATATGTGAGCTTCCACAGGTCCATAGTCAACTGATACAGAGGGTCTCAAGGTTTCAGCACACATGCTGTCCTTCATCTTGTCAGGTGCTTGAACTTAACACAACAACAAGTCATGTGTTGACTTGTTTCTTTCTTGACAAGACAATGGCATTACTCCACTGTCATTGACTGAAATTTTTACTCAGTCAAGTTCAGCCATGCTGTGAGTCAGGAAGTTGCTGAATAACAAAAGGGAAGGGTAAGCAGCTTCTGAAGCAATTCTCAAAAACAGCTCACATTATTGTGTTGGAAAAATCAGG